CAGTTCCCCGGTTAGAATCTGCAGCCTATACAATGCCCTCCACCCGTGGTGATACATGAACATTCTCTTACTGAGACGTTCTCACAGCCCTGCTGAGACAGTCCAGCACTGCACCCATGTGACCATGAGCTCCTGCTGGGAGCCTGGCAGGCAATGTCCCAGAGGCCGAGTGGGTGGCAACCCACTGTGCTGGCCCCACAGGAAGCTGATCTTCTCCCTCTCCATGGGCCCCACTGCCCGCTCCAGCTGCAGAGGCCAGGAAGTGGGCTGGCCAGTGTTTATTGGGCTACTGCTGCATACCAGACCCCTAGACATAAGCCGAGAAGCCGAGACAGGGTGGGGTCTTCCCCAAAGAAGGCCCACTGATTCACTTGGGAAGAGATTCACTTGAGAAGGAAGTTGGATATGTTAGGCATAGGGTACAGCTGAGTTGAGGCTTGCCAATCAGAGGTAGCAAAAGAAACAGAGGGTGTCTGGCTGGAGTTGGGCTCCGTTTGCTCTTAAATACCCACAGAGCCTCATAGCATCGAGGTCTCTCCTAGTCAGGGGCTGAGGGGAGGGGCTTTGTACCTGGCAGCCACTGAGCACCTCTAACAAGGTGTCATAGGTGGGGGTCTCAGCTAGGGTAGAGGTCCCCACAAATTGTGCTTGAGACCATCTCTGGGGAGACCATGAGGCCACTGTCCTGTTGCCATGGTTCCAGGCAGCTGTTAATCCTCTCCTGGGGCTGGACCTCTCTGCAGTGTCCCCAAGCGGGCCTCACCTTATTTGATCCTCCTTGGCAGAGTGGCCTGAGGTAAGGTATTCCTGCCCAGAGCAAAGGTCACCAAGAAGGCAGAAGCAGGCCTCCAGCAACCAGGCCACCTGTCTGTTATCATGGACTCCAGGAGGGCCTAGGGAGCCCCAGCATCCCTCCTGTGCAAGGGCTCTGGTCCTTTTCACCATCAGCAACTCCTGCCAGCGGAAGGAATCCCAGAGCCTTGCTGGGGAAGTGGGAACGTGACAACGACGATGGTGCCCTGACCTGACAGGGCTTAAAGTGGTGGTGGGGGGAGGGGAGGGGGAGGACACTGGGGCTGAGCAGGGAGCCTGGAGCGCAGAGGGAGCAGATGCCAGACTTGGAGTACCCACTTCCCTGAGAGCTGGAGCACACAAGCACGGTGGAAACCAAGTGTCTCCAGAGAGGGGAAAGACTTGGATAACAGGGCAGAGGCAGAGGGAGCCCTGGCCCAGCCTCTAGTCCCCAGAACCCAGCCTGGGAAGGTGGACAAAAGTTTCTCCACAAGACGTGAGGGGTGGGTGGCAGGGATCTTTGAGACTTGCCCTGTGAGACTGACTGCTTCGTCTCTGCAGCCTAGAGGCCCAGGAGTCCTGGGGCTGCCCGCGGACTGGAAACCTTACCACAGTCAGTCCAAAGCGTTCTCCTGACTGGCTTGTCCCTACCACAAGGTCTCAGCAGAGGAGGACGTGGTTTACTGGGAACCCAGCTCCTTGTCTGGGCCCTCAGTTTCCTCAGCTGCATAGTAAGGAGGCTGGCCAAGGGCATTCCTGAGCACATGGAGTTCTCATGATGCCTAAAGACCCCGAATCTCCCCTCTGTTTACTGGTTCCTGATGGCAGAGAGTCAAGCAATGTATACTAGAGTCCTCCCATTGCAGAGAAAGGCTGCTTTCCTCTCCGATTTTGCTCAGGGGGCCCCTGCTGGCCTGTGGAATGGAAGGTGGCCATCACTAGCACCTGCATAGAAGTCTCTAGAGTGCTGGCCAAGGCCAGGCAGCCAAAGACACAAAGACATTACTCAGAGAAGAGGCAGCAGAGAGATCTGGGCACCAGCCCCTGGGATGAGTGGGGACCAAGAGGCACCAAGCTCTTTGTGTATGGTAAACACAACAGAGCTCAAAACAAAACCTAAACGCTCAGGCTAGATCCCTTTGCTGACTGTGTCTTGACACCACATTCCTTCAAGGAGACACGAGGGACCCAGGGCCCATCCTTTCATCTGTCGCTCTGGATACTTATTACTTCCTGGCTTGGGCCCTTATATTAAGTCCCCATATGGACAGCCAGCCCACTGGTGTCCAGCTCACTGGCTGTGTCTGGTGAGGAGGGGCCTGCTTGTCTCTTGTGAACCTTAGGCCATCAAAACAGGGCAGAGCTTGCCCCCGGGCCAGTATGACAGACTGTGGGAAGTGGCCTGCCCTAGAGAAGGAACAGTGGTTTCTCCTAGCCTGCTGCCACAGGGCCTGAGAGAAGGGCTGACCTGAATCCCATAAGGTGAGGAGGGAGGCCTGGCCAATCACCCCTCAGTGGCCAACCTATAGAGCTTGCCCTCATATGAGACTCTGAGAGTGATGTCCACTCTGACTCGGCCTGTGCTCCACTAGTACCAGCCCACAGGAGGCCCGAAGGCCAAAGGCAACCCTGTGCTCAGCCAGCAACACCTCTGGTTCAGAAGTGGCAGCCAGAGGCCAGCTCCTATCACCCCTCAACCCATGTCCCATGACAGGAAAACACTCTGAGAAGGAGCCAAGCTCCATGTGGCCAAGCAAGGTCACGAGGGGGTATGTGCTGGGGTTTCAGATGTGGGTAGACTCAGTCAATGCCAGCTCAGAGACCAGCCAGCTAGAAACATGGATCCTGCCTGCCTGTCTGCTGGGCACACTCCGCTGATGATAGAGTATGAGGTGTGGTCAGGTGGAGATCACCCTCAGTGGGGTCCTGTTGGAGATTTTGGTTGGTGGGAAGATGGGTTCCAGAGCAAGGCTCCCTGTCTGTCTCTGTCACCCCAGTTGGAGGAGCCCAGGCCAGGTGAGCAGCCAGCAGGGGGGCTACCAGGAAGCGGCCCCTTGAGGCCTCTGCTGGTCTCTGGCTGGCTGTCCATCTCCCAATCTTGGACATGGTCACACTAAGCAATGTGGGTGAATGAGAGGGCTGGCAGCAGCCAGGAGGAGGGACATGAGTGGGGACAATGGCTGGAATGGAGGACAACCCGACTGTGACACAGAACAAGGAGCCACACCGGGACCACCACCTGTGTTGGGCTCCCTCGCTCAGCCACAGAGCTTCTCTCTGCCCAGGGGGCCTTCACACCTGCCGGTTTCTGCCTACGTCTCTTCCTGGCTGTGTCCACATCGCACTGTGGAGAGGTGGGCCCCGGCCTCCTGCTTCTCTTCAGCACAATCTAAAAATGTCGTATTTTTTTTTTTTTTATCATTTTATGTATGTGTGTGGGTGTTGTACCTGAGTGTATGTCTGTGCACTACATGTGTGCCTGGTGCCCACAGAGGTCAGAAGAAGACATTAAATTCCCCGAAACTGGAGTTACAGACCATTTCGAGCTACCATGTGGGTGCTGGGAATCGAATCCTGGTCCTGCAGCCAGTGCTCCTAACTGCTGAGCCACCTCTCCAGTCCCTAGAATTTTCTGTAGTAAGTTCTTGTTGTTGTTACCTCTCTGCTACACACTGAACTGGTGAAAGAGGTATTGTTTTTGTTCCCAGATGTGTCTGCCTCACTGGGAATGCTCAGAAATGGTCTCCCCCCTAAATGCAGGGAGGGTTCTGAAGGCCTGCAGATGAGTGCTGAGGTTAACTTCCCCAGCCTAAGGACTCCGGACATTCCACTGGACCCCAGCCTGTCTCCTCATCCCACACAGTCACCCAGGCCACCTCAGAACATCTGGTGCCTCACTCACGCCATGCCCATCTCTAGCAGAGACTCTGGGTATCCAGGATGGCTCAATCTGCCTTGGTGTGCCCTGTAGAGCACCAGAGAGGGCAGATGTCAGCTGCTGGAGGCAACAGGCTGGAAGCCACCATCCCCAGCCAGAGAGGAGCCCGCCTCAGTCTGCAGAACAGTGGAGGTGTCCTTATGGCAGGATCTGTACAGCCTCCTCAGGAAGCTGACAGTCACTTATGAAATAGAGCCCAGGATTAGGGGAAAGGTTGAAATTGTCCTAAACATGGAGTCCAAGTCTGGCTGTGGAGAAGTACTGTGAGGAGCTGGAGCGTGGGCAATTTCTATGCAGTTGGGTCTCTCCATTACAAACCTAATCCAAATTCCACGGAGAAAATGTAGAACCACAGAACAACTGAGAAAGCCCAGGCACCGCCTACCTGATCAGCTGAAGCATCTCCACTTGGGGATAAGCAGTGTGTGGCTGAGCCCCACATCCTTTGGCCAGGTCTTGATATCATGTGGATGTATGCCATCTCAGCTCTTCTTGGTGGGACTACAGATCTTCAGGTCAGGTTAAAGAACTGCGTGCAGGCTCCAGGGCCAGGAAGCTGCTGGGACAGCCTCTGTGTCTAACTCAACTCTAAGAGTTAGCGCCCAGTCTCACTCCCAGTTCTGCCAGTTCAGAGAATCCCAGGTGCCAGCACTCTGCCTTGAGGATTCCCACTGCCTCCCCTCCGTTCCTCGAACCTCACCTCAGACATCTCTATAGGCCACCAGACTTCTCTCGGGAGGACTCTTCTCAGACTCTCCAGGCATTAGAGGGACTCCTTTCAACCTTAAGCTTTCCGTCACAGCCCAAAGTTGTTGGAAAGAGGATGGATGGGGGCGTGGTCTAAGACACTGACAACCATCCTAGGGCTGTGAAAAGGTTTCGGAGAGACGGATAGATAGATGTGACTTGGGGCATACGGGGAGCTAGGCAGATGAAGTTGCCGAGACAAGGGTCCCACCCAGACAACCCGGCTCTACTGCCTAGACCCCCGACTCCTCTCGGAAACCCCGTTTCTCGCCCTGCCCGCGGGAACTCGCCCCTCCTTACCCCGCCTCCCCACCCTACCCGAGGCGCTCGCCCCGCCCTGCCCCGCCCCACCCCCTCCATCTCCTCTACCCTCTCCCTCCCCCTAGCCTGAGGGCGGGCGCCGACTCCTACTGCAATCGAGTGAGCGCACTGCTCTTGGAGCCCGAGGGCGCTGCCCGCTTGCGAAGTGCCGCCGCGGTGCCCGCCGTCTCCGGCTTGGGCACTCTGTCCCGCACAGGTCGGTCGCTTCCTCCCGCTGTCTCTGCACACAGCCTGGGCCTGGGGTCCCGCCATTCGGACGGACCCTGCCTGCCTCGCACAGGATCCCCCAAGCTCCGCTGGGCATCTGCGGGGATCACCTGCCTCAGCCCCAGTTCCTCTGGCGTCCTCTCCCCAACCTGGGAGCTGCATCCCTCTGCCTTTTCTCTCGCGACCCGCCGGCCTCGGAGACCCGGAGGCCGCCCGGTGTGCCTGGGTCAGGTTAGAAGCCACAAGGGACCCAGATGTCTCCCTCTGCTCATGCACCCTGGAGTCCGACCTCTCTCTGTGGCGCGCGCCCCCAGTGCCAGGGAGGGTTGCGGACTGGACAAACGCAGAGGCCTCAGGAGACGCGGGCTCGGAGGGAAGGTGGGAGGGCGCAGAGGGGGCATCAGGCAGACTAGGAGGTCTGCAGCTGGACACCGGGGGGCGGGGGACGGTCAGGGAGAAGCAGCGGCGTGCACATTCGGGTCTGCTGGTGGCGGGCATAGTGGGGCTAGACATGGGGCTGCGGCCTGACACGCATAGACGCACTACGGGATCTGGGGTCCCTGCGATTGTTTGCGCGGAGGAGGGAGTCTGAGTACACCCCTGCCCTCTGAGAATCGAGTCCCCACATGGCCAGGGAGGGGCACTTGTGTCCTGGAGTCCACCGGTCCTCCATCCCGCCCATCCGTGGGATCAAGAACGTCCTGGAACTTTCCTTGGTGTGTAGTGCCCTCCCTGTCACCCGTTGTGTGACTTAGGGTGATGAGGGTCAGAACCCAGGTGCCCAAAGTCAGACATGGGAACTGTTGCTGAGCAACAGAACGCGTCGCAGGGTCAGGTGGGATGCACTGGAGCTTCCAGTAGCACCAATGACCGACAATTAGATTCCCCATAAAGTAAAGGCCCAGATTTCTGAGGAAATGGGCTGGAGATGGGAATAACCTCCTCCAGGGCAGGGAGACCCACCTGAGAGCTCCTTGGCGGGATTGTGCGATCCCAGCTTCCCGGCTGGTCCTAAATCTGCCTCAGTTTCCCCCTGCCCTGGCCCAAGCTGCCTCCAAACGTTTTCAGAGTGTATTTGGGGAAAGGCAACAGGAGAGGTGTTGCTAATGGCTGTGAGTGGGGGTGAGGTGAGGGGGCCTGACTCCAGTCCCACCCTCAGCAAAGCAGGAGGGGGCAGAAGCATAAGGCGTGGGGGACTTGACACTTACATCTCCAAATGAATAAGGTGGCGGTCATTTCATCCCTCTGGCGACTCTACATTTGTATGGACTCGCTTACACCTGAAGCCTGGACTGAAGGCAGCACCAAGGTCCCCAAGATCACAGGGCAGGTATTGGGGTGGGGGCCAGGACCTGCTGGGGAAGATGCATGGGAGGGTGGATTTGGTTGTCTAAGCAGGTCTTTAGCTGGACTCCGGATGTGAAACCGCCTCCTTCGCTCCTCCCTCCCACAGTGGAAATGGCCTGAGGGGCAATTTTCCCGTGAACATGTAATTCTTGTGAATAAGAAGATTGCTCTTTTAAAAACGGTTCTTGAAGAATTACAGTCTAAGAGGCAGGCACAGCTCTAGGGCCTATTTTGTTCTTTGTAGCTCTGAGACTGGTTGGGAGTTGCAGTGTTTGTATAGATGGCAAGGGCTGGTGGCCTGCTAAATCACTCCTGGGCTCTGGGCAGCAGTGAGGAGGGATGGGCCAGGGAGAAACCTCAGAGAAGCGTAGAGAAAATCAGAGCCAGACTTAAGGTCAGAATGTGTTCGAGAACTGCCACCCCAAGCCTGTTAGGGAGGTCCTGAGCCCATCAGCCCTTTCCTCAACAGTGGACAGCTCATCTTCAGGGGCTGATCCATCACCTTCAATCAGCCATTTGCCAGGTCCCTTGTTCAGTCTTTTGGGGAGAGGTGATCCAAGGCCTCTGCAGCAGGTCCATGCCTATTGGCCATGTGAAATGACATTTCAGTACTCCTGGCCGCACCACAGTCCTTTTTAGGCTAGATCTCTGCAGGGGTCCATGGCATCTGTGAGCATTACTTTAAAAGTCTCATATAGATACTTCTTGAGACTAGCCCCTGTGAGCCAATCAGCAGTCCCATCTACTGGCCTCCAAGGAAGCCCCTGTCTAAATGTCTGAGAAAAGGCCGTTCCCATGGTTTCCTGCTGAAGCTATATGTGATATGGGCCCTAGCTGAAGTCATTCTTGTCCCCAATGCAGGGACACCCTTCCAGACCAGGGGTTCAATGCCAACAGAGGAACCCCATCACTTACCAGCTACAGTCATCTCTCGTACCTAACATTGTCTTTTAAAGCTATTTGTTTATATGTGTAAGGGTATTTTGCCTTCATGTATGTCTATGTACCACATGCATGCAGTGCTGTGTGTGCAGAGACCAGAAGAGGGCCTCAGATCCCCTGGGACTGGAGTTACAGACAGCTGTGAGCTATATGTGGGTGCTGGGAATTGAACCTAGTCTCCTCTGGAAGAGCAGCTAGTGCTCTCAAAGCCATATCTCCAGCCGTTCTCCTTTCTTAATACCAAGTTTCATGTATCATAGGCTGGTAATGGAAAAGGGGGAACCAGATAATGGGATAATTCCACGAAGTCTATTTGAAGGTCGAAGGAATTTATTCAGGGTTTAACTCACAGCAAGAATAATTGAGTTGGTCACAGAATCCAGGAGGGGTGGGGCGCGGTCCACCTCCATTCTCAGGAGAGCTCTGCTTTGATCCGCAGCACCAGCGTCCAAGACCACAAGGTAATGAAGAGAGAGGAGCACAACTCCTCCCAGGTCTTAAGGGGGGGGCAGGTACCTAGCAGTTCCCTGCTGCCTCACTGGGGTGATGCTTCAGGGTAAAGCACAGACAACCAGCCCTACAGCCTGACCTCAAACTTAGAATCTCATCAGGAAGACCTTGGGTTTCTAATCCTCTGTCTCAACCTCTTTCAAGTGCTGGACTCACAAGCCTGTGCTAGTATACCTGGTTTATGCATTGTTAGGAATTGAACCCAGGTAATCATGCATGCTAGTCAATCACTCTACATTCCCAGCCCCACCTTTGGCCTTTTCTTTTCTTCTCTTTTCTTTTCTTTTCTTTTTTTATTAAATAAGGTTTGTCACGTACCTCTTGCCTTATCTTTGCTGATGGAATAGTATTATCGTTGCCACTGTTTGTGGTGTTTCCATGATGTGTCCTACTGATACTTTTCAGGATTTTCTGCGGCTCAGTGGTGATGCTGGTGTATTGTGACTTAATCCACTGAAGACAAGATTAGCCAGGAGTTGGCATCTAGCATCTTCTCGGAGAGATAAAGTTTCATCCTTCCCCTTTGTCCTGTGGCTCCTGCTTGTTTTTCCTGTTGCTTCTATGTCTGCATCTTCTCAGCATCCCTCAGTGTCTTCTATTTCACCAATTCTCTCCTCAACACCATCTAGATTAGAATTAGTCTTGATTTTTGTGGACTTGTTGTTGTTTATTTAAATGACTGTATTTTCCATTTTTTGAAGATTTGTTTTATTTTAAATTATGTGTGTCTATGTGTGCTTATGTGCATGTAAGTGCAGATGTTCATGGAGGCCAGAGGATCCTGGAACTGGAGTGACAAGCAGTTGTGAGCTACCTGACATGAGTGTGGGGATCCAATTTGGGTCCTCTGCAAGAACAGTCTACACTCTTAACAGATGGGCCGACTCTCCTGGCACTAAAATGACTGTATTTTTCATACCCAAGTTCTGTGACTTCAAAGTAGGGGAACCTGCTCTATTTACTCCATACTCCTTATAATATTTTATCCATGCTTTACTCAAAGATCTTACACTTACTGAAACATGTTCCAAGCATACTAGTTAAATCATCTTGTTTTATTTCCCCTTTCCCAGATGATCCACTGCTGGTTCCCTTCTCCTTGGTTCTCCAGGTCATATTCCTTAGCACCCTTGAGCCTTGAGAACTTGGACTTCGGTGCGTTGGCTTGTGGGGAGGAACATTTTCATTTTCTTGATGCTGCTGCTGTTCACTTTAGGATCCACATTCTCCAGCCTGCCTTTCCTTGTTCTTCACATTGCAGTTGCCTCTGCTTGGGCCTGGTCACCCCACAACTAGGTCCTGCCCTGACGGCTGTTGGAGTATCCCATGTCTACTATGGCTCAGGCCATTACAGATCAGCTGAGCAGGCCCAGGTTTCAGAGGGCAGCATAGCTAGGGGACAGCCTGGCTCAGGCTGAGGGCTCCTGCCCCCCTCGCTCAGGCTGAGGGCTCCTGCCTCCCCAGGGCCTGTCCCTGGCCTGTGTCCTCCAGGTACTTCAGTCCCTTGCTGGTTGCCCAACCATAGGCATCAGTCCTGCCCATCTCCTTCTCCCCCAGCAACAGAGGTGTTTATTTCTTCTTGGGCATCTTCGCTTTTATGGAAGACTTGAAACACAAAGAAACACGAAGCCAGTGAGAGTGTATGCACCTGCCACTCATCTGTCAGGCACTGTCCTCCCACACCTGCCTCTCTGCTCTCTCCACAAAGCCCACGCACTGGCCCCGGGTCCTCACTCTGCTTGCCTGGCTCTGCCACGTGGTGGGCTGTGCGCCCCCTCAAATGCTATGCCCGAAGCCTGATGTGTTCCTGTTACATCTGCTCCATGTGTTTGTCCTCCCAGCGTTAGGCACCTTCCAGTTCCATACTGTGCGGTAAGCCTGGCCTTAAGGATAGCTGCCATTGCTGAGACAGACCTTTGCCCAGGGCAGGCAGCACCCTCAGCCAGGTGGACTCAGGGGTGAGAAGTGGGCCAGCCACTGTATAGTACAGGGACCTCTGGGGTCACCGCTGCTTCAGAGAGGCTCAGGCCCTCCTAGGGGTGGAAACTGTCTACTGGGAACAGCACTCCCTAGGATCTCCTGTTTCGGGGAAGGCCCCACCCCAATAACCTTGGACTTATTGGCAGAGCAGGCCTAGATGCCACATGTGTTGGGTATGACTGGCTTACCCCAGCCATGGCATCTCATCCTCCCCCCCCTTCTCTATTGGCCACTTCTCCTCAGAGTTTTGGGACCCCTGGGGAAGTGATACCCACTGAGCTTCTGTCACTTTCCTGAAATGCTGCCCTCCAGGGCTCTGAGAGGTTTTAGAGAGGGGGTGCTGGATAGCAGGCCAAGCTAGGGGAGTCATAGGTTGTGGGTCACAGGGCAGCCACTGTAGCATCAGTATTGATAGGTAATGGCCCTCTTGGCTCACTGAACCACCCATCCTCTTGTCCCCACAGTGGCTTCTTCTTTCTCTCCAGCTTATTTTCCACACAGTTTGCTTAATGTGATTCCCAGCCAAGTTGAACATGACTAATGGTGTTTACCCACCACCGTCGGGCGGGCGGGCTGGGGATGGTTGGAGGAAGGAATGCCTGAATGTGTCCACTCATGGTACCCTCTTCTCTTGCAGAGACAGAGGGGTTGGTAACTGGCCTGAAGCTGGCAGCATGGAGCCCCTCTTTCCAGCTTCCACACCCAGCTGGAATGCCTCGGCTGCTTCCAGTGGTAACCGTAACTGGTCACTGGTGGGCCCAGTATCCTCGATGGGAGCCCCGGGGATACTGGTGCCTGTGCTCTACTTGCTGGTGTGCACGGTGGGGCTGGGTGGAAATACACTGGTCATCTATGTGGTGCTGCGGCATGCCAAGATGAAGACAGTGACGAACGTATACATCCTGAACCTGGCTGTGGCTGACGTATTGTTTATGTTGGGGCTTCCCTTCCTGGCTACACAGAACGCCATCTCCTACTGGCCCTTTGGCTCCTTCCTGTGCCGCCTGGTCATGACGCTGGATGGCATCAACCAGTTCACCAGTATCTTCTGCCTGATGGTCATGAGTGTCGACCGCTACCTGGCTGTGGTCCACCCTCTCCGCTCGGCCCGGTGGCGTCGCCCCCGGGTAGCCAAGCTGGCCAGCGCTGCTGTCTGGGTCTTCTCACTGCTCATGTCTCTGCCGCTCTTGGTCTTCGCGGATGTCCAGGAGGGCTGGGGCACCTGCAACCTGAGCTGGCCGGAGCCTGTGCAACTGTGGGGTGCGGCCTTCATCACCTACACGTCCGTGCTGGGCTTCTTTGGGCCCCTGCTGGTCATCTGTCTGTGCTACCTGCTCATTGTGGTGAAGGTGAAGGCCGCCGGTGTGCGTGTGGGCTCCTCCCGGCGACGGCGCTCAGAGCGCAAGGTGACTCGGATGGTGGTGGTGGTGGTGCTGGTGTTCGTGGGCTGCTGGCTGCCTTTCTTCATTGTCAACATCGTCAACCTGGCCTTCACGTTGCCTGAGGAGCCTGTCTCTGCTGGCCTCTACTTCTTCGTGGTGGTCTTGTCTTACGCCAACAGCTGTGCCAACCCCCTGCTCTACGGCTTTCTCTCTGATAACTTCCGCCAGAGCTTCCGGAAGGTTCTGTGCCTACGTAGAGGATACGGGATGGAGGATGCAGAGGTCGCAGAACCACAGCCGGACAAGAGTGGGCGGCTGCAGGCCACACTGCCCACACGCAGCTGTGAGGCCAATGGGCTCATGCAGACCAGCAGGCTCTGAGTGCCTCCGTAGCACCCTGGTCCTGCCAGGCCTCTCTGATGTTGTCCTCTGGGATGTGAGTGTGCTGAGATACTCTTGTGCCCAGGTCTGCAAGCTGGACTCCTCTTGGTAGCAGTGTGAAGACAGCTGCCTGGGGCTAAAGCCAAGGGTGGGCAGCACAGCTGGGGTCCTGTGGTGACTGACCATCTCTTTCACCAAAATGTTCTGCCAGGCCAGGGTCTGAGAGTTTGGAGATCGTGAGATGGGCTTAGTTTTGCCCCCTGGAAATATTCAGGCACCTTCACCCACAATGTGGCACAACTGTCAGCCTCTCAGGCCAAGAGGCAGTTTTCCAGGAGGAAGCCAGGAGATGCTCATGTAAACTGTTGGTTTGTGTCGGTGACTGCCCACCCTGGAGCTGTGCTGAGACGCTGGCCCTCTGCCACTGCTCCATCCATGTTCTGCTTAACATGGAAGCCAAATGAAAGGTAACCACGTGTGCTTGGCCCCAGCCTCTGCTCGCAGAGCTCCTAGGCCTCTGTGATCTTGCAGCTGCATGTACTTCGAGGCAACAGTTGAAGCAAAGCCACACCAGCCCGGGGACAAAGGAGATAAAACCCTGGGGGCCTATTCCGGCCTTTCCCCATCTTTCAGCGTGAGGAAAGTGAGGCCGTAGCCTCCACAGTGGGAATGGGTGTGCAGGGCTGACACGTGGTGAAGAGCAGGAAGATGAGTGAATAAACACACATGGTGAAGAGTGGACAGAGAAGCAGACTCCCCAGGATCCGGTCTATACTGAGTGGCCCCTGAGGGTGACCCTGGGGAAAGACTCTACAGAGGCTTCCCTGAGGTTCAGAGACTGTGAGGCCACACAGGGGACTTAATAGCCCTCCTTCTCCTTAAGGCAGAATGCTAGGGCCCTGTTCTTGGAGGGGGGAGCAGGAGGAGCAGGTAGCAACAGGAAGTGCTCCCAGAGCAAACAGCACAGCCTGGAAAGACCGAGAGAGTGCAAATGCCAGGGCCAGAGAGGGCCAAGGCCCTGGGGAACCTGTGATCCCTCCTCAGCCTCCTCTAGCAGTTTCTCTACTCCGGCCCCAGAATGCGCTCAAAGAACCCCCAGGTCCGCATTTTACTGGGGTCCCCGGGGCACCCTTGGGCCTTTCTGAAGCTGGAAAAAGAAGTTAATCCACTGGGCCGCCCTGCCTGGCAATGCCTGGCTCCCTAGAAGAGTGTAGAGGCCAGGCCAGCAGGACTGGGCAGAGGAAGGCTGTGGGAGCTGCTGGGTCTCAAATGGGACCCCTCCCAAGACAGTTGCCAAGCCTGGAAGGCACTTGTGTCCGACAACCTGCCCCTGAATAAATAATAATAATAATAATAAATAGAAATAAAAGCATTTAATGACTTTTATTTCTAAATAAAAAGTGAATAAATAGAAAATAAAGTGTTTAATTCTTTCCCAAAGCAAATATTGTCTGTGGAGCCAAGTGAGGTCAGCTCAAAGCAGAGAACCCCATAAATACAATGCCATCAGCTCCCAGAGAACTGACCTCCGATGAGGAAGGTGGGGGGCAATTCCAGCTGGAGGTTCTGGACTCCGTTCTCAGGAGCTGATGGCAAGACCGGCCCCACCCACCAATGTCAGCGTCTCAGAGGGGAGTGTTCCTAAAAGAAACTGAAGCTACTTTACCTGTCAGCCTCTGCCCACCATCGGAACCCCTGGGATTGGGCCACAAAGGGGAACCACACCAAATGGCTCAGGAGAGTGAGTTTTGACAAAGGGGGTTCCTGACCAGACAAAAGTGCTCTCAGAGGTGTAGATGTGACAGGCAGCCAGCACCCTCTTGCAGAGAGCAAGGCACCAACATGTCCCATGGAGTTAGACATAGAAATGGATGGAGGTGCTTCTTAGATTATCCTTGGTCCTAGAAGCTTCCCCTAGACCTCTGGGCACCCTGTTCCCTATCTTGCCAGCCTGAAGCCCCATATGGCAGCAGCAGCATCCCAGCCCCAGGGACCCCATCCCTTTGTACCCCAATCGAGGCTCACCCCTCAGCAGGGCTGCAATCTGGCCATATCGCACTCTTATGACCTTTACTCATTCCACTGACCACTTGATGGTCAAGTGCATACCATCCCAGCCCCCAGACCCAAACTACTAGTACACAATGCCCCCTTTCCAATCCTTCCTGGTGGTTCTGCCATACTGACCCCATGGGCAGGCATCAGTCAGTTCCTATGCTTCCCTAAGCTAGGCTGGAGGAGTATTCTAACAGAGAGAACCACGTGTGTGAAGTCTCAGAGGCCAAGAGACACAGGCAAATAAACCCTCCTGTCAGAACAGGCAGGGTGTCTGGGACACGTCGTGGCAGAAAAGAGGAATAGGTGCAGCCCCAGCTCTGCCTCCAGGGTCTCATTATGGGTCACCAGCAAGTAAAGATGAGCTGAGCTGACGCTGGAGGAGGGGAAAGCCAGGTGTGAAGAGCGTCAGGTGCTAGGCTACCAAGGATGGGCAGGATGTGGCCTGAGCAAGGTGGGTGAGTGAGACGGGGATCCCGAGGTGCTGAGAGGCTAGCACGACGTCCCCGGCAAGGGCTGGGGCAGTAACCTAGACTGGTGCCTGACGAGGGAGCACGGTAGGGCAAGACCCAGGATTGAGAAATGTGTGGACTGTTCTGGGAGTCCAAACTTGGCCGACATGGATGGGCAGAGACAGGACCCTGGACACCCTGAACGCTCCTGTATTAAAGGCCTGACGGGTGTCCAGGAGAGCCACGGGTCCTGGACACAATAGTCCTGGGATATCCTCGGCTGCAGTCACGGAGACTTGCAGGGGTAGCCCAAAGCAAACACGCTGGGGCCACCGTGGCGGTCTGCTGATCTACTTTATGGCTCTGTCCGCATCAGTGGGTTTTATTGGACACTGGGTTCCAGCGACTGAGTGACCTTGCCCAGGAAATCCGGCCTGTGGGGCAGGGCCGAGGATGGGGACGGGGACAGGAGATGTGTGTTTGCCTGGCAGGGTGGGGTGCAGCCTGGAAATGGTGGTGACAATCAGAGTCTCCTTAGCAGATCCATGTTGCAGCCGCTCCTTTTGCCCCCCCCCCCCATCAGCAGGAGTAATGTCAGGGATCCCAGCACAGATTGTGAGAGAAAGGAACATTGTTCCCATCAGCCACCACCTTCAGGTGTCCTAGGGAAGAAGGGCAGGTAGATGAGTAAAAATGGCAGGCTGCCACTGGCCCCGGTACCCGGGGACACCCTTGCTTCTTACTAAGTAGGAGACACTGAAGATGTCAAGACAGAGCATGGCTGGGAATGTCCATTTGGTCTCTCCCGCCCCTCACCCTTCAGGACCCGCCTCCCATGTTTCCTGGGACCCTGGCATCTGTCATGGGAAACGGGGCCTCTCCATGGCAGTGGCGACAGAAAGCTTTGGTGGAAGGACACTTACTGCCTTCAACTGGAAACGATGGGAGCTTGTATAAGTTAGATGGAGGGCAGGGTCAGCATCATCAGATCCAGAAGAGAATACAAGAGAGAGGCCCATGCAGGAACAGCCAGGGACAGTGGCCTCCACCTTCCCTCCTTCCTGGTTCCCCGGGCTCTCCATAGTCAGGCACGACTGAAAGCTGTTGTTGGGTCCATCACTATCCAGAGTGAGTGCAGGCCAGTGGGAAGGTTGAGATTGGGCAGACAAATCGGAGATACCTGACCCTTCACTCTGATCACAGGAGAGGATGTCTGTCCATCTGGCCCCTGATTCTCCTCCTTCCCGTGAGACCTGGAGCTTTTGGGAAGGAGCCAGTGCCCAGGCCTATTACCTCACAAATCTGTGTCCTCACTCCTAACTCAGCCCTGAGTAGTTTACACTAGGTTTTCTGGAACAAGTCAGAGTGCTCCTCCTGCCGTGCTCCCTTCCGGCTGTGCTCCCTCCCATCGCTTCCAGTGGAATCATGTACTTGCAGTCTGTGGGTCACATTTCGCCAAGAACCTGTGTATATCCGATCACACTCTATTTGTCCCCTCACTGGTTTATCACACCAGCATAATGTCCCCAAGGTTCATCTCTATGTTCTGACAGGTGTCAGCACATCCTGAGCAGTATCCTATTGCATCTGGGCCATGCTTCGTGCTTGGCAGACATGTGGATTGTGTCACCACTTGGGCTTGATAATGTTGAAAGCACATGTGGCTGCATACACCTATAATCCCAGCACTTGGGTAATGGCAGCAGGGAGACCAGGCGCCAGGAGCTGAAGGCCAGCCTCAGCTATTGTGTGTTCAAGGCCAGTCTGGGTTACAGGAGCCTCTCTCTCTCTCTCTCTCTCTCTATATATATATATATATATATATATATATATATATATATATATATATATATATATATATACATATATATACACACACATATATGTGTGTGTGTGTGTGTGTGTGTGTGTGTATGTGTGTCTATCAGAAAGTTAAACTCTAAAATCTAGTCTGTTCATTCTTTCTCATCCATGCTATTTTCACAGAGTAAAAAAAAAATGGATTTTTCTACACAGTATTTGTAACAGTATTATCCATAATAGACAGCAGCTAGAGACATCCTGAGATGAACAGATGAGTTCTACCCATACGGTGGAATATTACTCAGCCATAAAAAGAAAAGAAGTTCTGATGCCAGTGACAACGAGGACGAAGACCAGAAATATGATGGTCAAGTCAGGCATGGTGACTCAGCCTGTAATTCCAGCACATGGGAGACTGAGGCAGGAGGATTGAAATTTTAACATTTATTTTTTATCATTTCTCTCTCTTTCTCTCTCTCTCTCTCTCTCTCTCTCTCTCTCTCTCTCTCTCTCTCTCTCTCTCTCTCAATGTCAGAAGGGGGCATCAGAACTGGATCTAGAACTACAGGTGCTTGTAGGCCCCTGCCATGGGCTTTGGGAACAGAACTCAGGACCCATGTGAGAACAGCAAGCCCACTGAACCACCAAGTCATCTCTCCAACCTCGAGAATCAATTTGGAGGCCAATCTCAGATGCAGAGAGAGACCCCGTGTCAGAAGGAAAGAAGGAAGGGAGGGGAAGAGGGGGGAGGGGATGGGAGGATGCTCTGTGAGGGGCACACAGAGTACAGGCTGGGATGCCACTTGCTCAAGATGCCCAGGAAGGGCACAGCCAGGAGAACAAGAGTAGAGTCCCATCACTAGAAGGAGACTAGTGGCCGCGCATAAACAGATTCCTGAGGGGCTGCATGGCGGAGGAGGCTTCCCAAGCTGTGAGTCAAATGCTAATCAACTTTGCCACCACGTAGAAAGTTTCATGTTGTGTGAGTTTCAGCTAATGATTCAGGATTTGGTTTTGATGGGAATTCACTCAGCTGGAAATCAAATACAAGACAAACCTTCCTTGGCAGGAGCCTCGCCAAATGTCTGCACACCGGAATATTTTTCCTCCCTTCCTTCTTTCCTTCCTATTTTTCTTTTTTTTGGGGGGGGAGGGTTCCGTTTGTTTTTCAAGACAAGGTTTCTCTGTGTAACAGTCCTGGCTGTCCTGGAACTCACTCTGTCGACCAGGCTGGCCTCAAACCTACAGAGATCTGTCGGCTTCTGCCTTCCAAGTGCTAGGTTTAAAGATGTGCTCTACCACACCTGACTTTTTCTTTTTCTTTCTTTTTTTTCTTTCTTTCGAGACAGGGTTTCTCTGTGGTGTTTTGGTGCCTGTCCTGGATCTCGCTTTGTAGACCAGGCTGGCCTCGAACTCACAGAGATCCACCTGCCTCTGCCTCCCAAGTGCTGGGATTAAAGGTGTGCACCACCACCTCCTGGCTCTGATTTTTTCTTTTCTTTTTTTTTTTTTTTTTTTTTTTTTTTTGGTTTTTCGAGACAGGGTTTCTCTGTGTAGCTTTGCGCCTTTTCTGGGACTCACTTGGTAGCCCAGGCTGGCCTGCCTCTGCCTCCCGAGTGCTGGGATTAAAGGCGTGCACCACCACCGCCCGGCTTGATTTTTTCTTTTTAAAAGATTGATTTTTTTAATTATTTTTAATTATGTGTTGGTATATATGTATGCATGTGGATAAATGCATGTGAGTGCAGGTACCATGGAGGCCAGAGATGCCAGATCCCCTGGAGCTGGAGTTTCAGGTGGTTGTGAGCTACCAACATGGGTTCTGTTGAAAGAGCAGCAAGCACCCTTAACTGCTGAGCCGTCCCTCCAGCCCCTGTATATTTTTCTTAGTTTTATCACATGGAGTGGAGCCAGCGTGTTCCTGATTAACTCTGGTTCTGCACAGCTGGCGGCCCAGGCTGCTGCCATAAATTCCCTCTAACTGTAATCTCTAATTGCTCAGGGCAGTGGCCAGAGTGCCATTGATTTTCCATCTTGGGCCTTT